GGTAAAGGAAACTGTGATCTTTCTAAGGCTTCTCTCTTCCTCACAGTGATATGAGGAATAAACACAATAGTGTTCATTGAATGACTTGGGAGGAAAAGCATTCTGCTGTCTAGAGTCAGAATATTAGAGTTGGAATCCTAAGAGAGTACCTTGCCCAGCACCCTCATATTACATATGAGAAGAATAATGAGCTATGAAGAAGCTGACTTCCCCCATGTCACATGGTTGACTAATTCCCTCACAAACTTGCCCATCTATCTGCTTTTCTTCTTCAGTATCCTCCCAGTTGCTGAATGAGAAACCGCTCTCTTCCCCTTCAGTCTCTCCCCAGCTCCCATCAGTTGCACCTCTGAACCACCCCTTCTTTCTATTCCCACTGCCTCCTTCCCAGTTCAGGTATTCATGATCCCCAGCCCATGTTCTTGCAGCTGTTTTCCACTGTTCTCCTGGTGTTCAGTGTCCAGGTTTCTTCTTCTCCCCAACTTTCACTTCATTACATTTTCTGCTACCAGAGTCATCTTTTACATCCAGACCAGATGCTATCCTTCTTCTATAATCCCTGAATGACTTCCTGACCCCTGAATATAAAAAAGTTATTTTTCTTTTCTCTTTTATTTTTAATATTTCAATTCAAATAAAGATGTGATTCAGTATGTATCATAGATACATAATAATATAAACAGTCTCTTTTCTCAAGAGCTTAGAGCTTTATTAGGAAAAATATTCATATACTAAAAAAGAATAATAATCTTTATGATGCTTGAAATGATTTCACGTGTATCATCTAACTTGAGCTTTATATATGATTCTGTATATCCAATATTTGCAAAATTTAAGGGACTTTTTCTTTTATGTAATATTTGACATAAAAACTAGACATATATAAAGTATATGTAAATTATGAAGCATCATAAACAAAAAACCTTATATACCCACTTGTATTGGGGTTCTCCAGAGAAAGAGAGCCAGTAAAAGATATATGACTTCATAACATTATGCTCACTTTTACCTAATTATAAGCCTGTTTAAACATACAAAGTTATCATTTAAGTGAATTTACTCTTTACATTAAATAATATTTATTGAGCACCTGCACCTTTCTCTACCTAAGCTAGAAATTCTTCTTTATGTAAATGTATATATACACACACGTACACATGCGCACGCGTGCACACACACACACATATACCCACATGTATAAAGGAGATTTATTATGAAGAGATAGATTTATTTACTTATTTATTTATTTTTGAGATGGAGTCTTGTTCTGTCACCCAGGCTGCAGTGCAGTAGCGCAATCTCAGCTCACTGCAACCTCCGTCTTCCAGGTTCAAGCAATTCTCCTGCCTCAGCCTCCTGAGTAGCTGGGATTACAGGTACCTGCCACCACGCCCGGCTAATTTTTTTGTATATTTAGTAGACACAGGGTTTCACCATATTGGCCAGGCTGGTCTTGAACTCCTGACCTCAGATGATCCACCCGCCTCAGCCTCCCCAAGTGCTAGGATTACAGGTGTGAGCCACCGCGCCCGGCCATGAAGAGATTTATTATGAGAAACTGGCTAACACGATTATGGGGGCTGAGAATCCTACCATTTGCTTTCTACAAACTGGAGACCTGGAAAACCCAGTGATATAATTCAATCTGACCTTTAATCAAGACAGGGTAAATCATCAGTGGGCTTCATGTCTTTTCCCGTCTTAAACTATTTCTTTTAAGATCAAAGCATTTAGCCCAACTTGAATGTCCAAAATTCATCAAAGTAAGGTGACAGGGAATGAGGACAAGTTCCTTTTAATAACCCTGGCTTCCTTATTCTCTGACAATCTTCAAAGAGTACTTTGCTCCTGAGGACAATCTTGTGAGAGCAAATCAAGTAAATATCCTTATGTTTATGTCTTCATGTTTTTCATCAGTGATGAAAAGTTATTAGCCATTTCTCTTGGAGAATAGTCTGTCCATTCTTTCGTTTCTCTTTATCTGGAATTTCAATTAGATATTTGTTTAATCTTCTCATTTTATTCTCTGTGCTCCTTAATACCTCTTTAATATTTTTCATCTCCTAATACTTCCTTGCTACATTCTGGACAGTTCCATTCATTTATTCAGCAAATATTTATTTAGCACTTACTAATGGTAAACACTGTTTTGGGCAGTTGAGTACCTCAGGGAACAAAATAAATGCATCCCTGCCCAGGAGGCGCTTACATTTGAAGAGATGAAATTAAGAAACAGACAATAAATGATAAATATAGTAAGCAAATTACGTGGAATGTAGAAGGTGATAAATGCCACAAAAAAAGCAAGTAAATGCCATGAAAAAGGAGAATAAGGTAATTCCCTCTCTGTTTTTATTGGTTATTTAACATTCAATTAAGTTTTTATTTTAAATAATTTTTTTTTTAAATATCTAAATGTTCTACTTGATTATTTTTCAAACCTGTCTGGTCACTTTTGAAAGTCTATGGGTTTTGCTCATTTAAAAAATTTTACCTTTTACTGCTAAGATTATCTGAGGAATAGTAATTTTATATAATTACTAATTACAATATTAAAAGTTTTGAAGATCTCTGTATTTATTGCTTATTTCTGTTTACTCACAAAGGTAGATTTTCCTTTGTGTATTTGATAGTTTATTTTAAAATTATTTTTATTGTGAGTTTGTTTCAGATTGAATGTAGTCTGTGAAAATTCTAAGGGCCTAAAGTGAAATTACTTCAGAGAAGATTTGGATTTTCTTCTGCTGGGAACAAGGAGGCTGTGCTGATCTGGAAAGACAGTAGCCCTTCTGAGAATCCAGTTGTAAATGTTGAAATCTCAGGGTAAATTCTTACCTAGGGATTGGGATTGGCATGAGATTTAGGTGTAGTGTTCTTGTCCCAGTGCTGGTACAGGTGTTGCTCCTCAGATTAGTGAAGGCTTCTTACCATTTCCATTTCAACTCAATGTTTTTGTTTTGGTTTGGAGGCAAGAGCTAGCCCTAAGCTATTTCTCTTCTTTTTGTGCTCAGCAATTCTTTAAAAAGCATGATTTTAAAAATAATTATTAAGGAACAGGGGTTTGTTTATTTATTTTTGAGATGGAGTCTTGTTCTGTCACCCAGGCTGCAGTGCAGTAGTGCAATCTCAGCTCACGGCAACCTGCATCTCCCAGGTTCAAGCAATTCTCCTGCCTCAGCCTCCTGAGTAGCTGGGATTATAGGCACCCGCCGCCACGCCCCCTATAGTGGATAACCATTTAGGGTATCTAGTCTACCATGCTGCTAGAATTGAACTCAACCCTAAGTTACCTTTCCTATTCCTATCTGGCAGCTTCTCACTAATTCAGCATCCTTTCCTCACTGCACTCCCAGTTCAATCTGGTACCTCATATTACCACACCTACTGTCTACATGCCTTTGTTTGTGCAATGGCCTTCACATCTATCTTCCCCTACTCCCAATAAATAAACTTCCACACTTTTTTTTTCTGCCCAGAGAAATTCTATCTGCCTTTTAAGCCTACTAGAAGATCAGCTGTTCTGAAAACTTCCCCTAACCATCATGCCTCACCTCTCCAAGGCAGAATTAATTACTTCCTCTTTTTACACTAATATCATTGCCCTTGATACCAGAGTAGAGCATTGAGATTACTTGGGTAGAGATCAGCCTGCCAATTTGGTATTAAAGAACCATATCTTAGTCATCTGTGTTTCCCTAATGCATAATGTGGCTGGCCATTCAATAAATCTTGTAAAAATTTAATCTAATTGTGGGATTCATGATTGCAGTTTTGGTTGCACAACTCCCAGTTTACTCCCCTTAGGCATTCACTGCTCTTGGACATTGCTATTATTACCCAGGAAGATTGTCTTGGCTTTAGATGTGGGATTTTTGTGGCTATCATTTGTCCTTCACACTCAGAGAATATTCTGATAGATTTTTTAGAATCATACTCCCTTCTCTCAACAGAGTTGAAATTCTTTCTTAAAAATAGGATTCTCAACATAAAACATTATTATTATTGCTAAAAATGGTGGTAAAACATATAGCTATGTTTACTTAATTACAATATTTCATTAGATATAGTCATTATTGGGCTGTACAAATTTTCAGAATGATTTACTTCTTAAGAATTTTGAAAGCTGGGAAAGTGGTATTCTTTACTTTTAAAAATTACGCTTGTAGTATATGAAGACATTTTAACTGTTAAAAAATTATTCTAATAAATCAAAGTATTTTGAGTAAAAGTGAAAGTCCCTTTTCCCACAGTACCACTTCTACCTCATGGGTATTACTACTAAAAATTTAGTGTATATCTTTCAAACATTGATATAGGTGTTGATATAGAATATAGCCATTAGTTTACAGTGCTATTTCCTTTACTAGAGAGCAAAAGGTCAAATTACATTGATTATTCTGCACTGAATATTCATTTGATGTCAGCAATAGAAAAGTAAACAAATATATATCAAGCTCAATACCAATCACATTGGATGCTAGGACACTAGCAATGACATTTTTATCTTGCATTGGACAGCTCATGATGGAATGAGTTTGTGAGGTTCATAGGAATTAGGGGAAAAAAGGGGTAATTAAAAGCAACTCTAATGACAAAATTGCAATACATCATGCTTAAGTAGTTATATAAAGCCATTATTCTGTCAAGTGGGGGTAATACTTTTCCATTTTTTCCTAACTTATGGAAATCAGTTATATATTGCTTTTTAACATATAGAGACCTGGCTTTAAAAAGTGTCTAGATCCCTAATTACTCTTAAAGTAACATTTTATTTCCTGTAAAATTTAGAAAGAAGCCTCTGAAAGCCTATGCTCCTTCTATTTACAAAAAATAATAAAAGGGGAACATAATTTATGACCAAGAATTTGCAAATGAAGTGTGTTAAGAACACACTTATTTAATCTCTGGATGAAGGGTTTGCATCCTAATTATAGCATAGAATCTTGGAAGGAACTGAAAAGACCTTGTAAGTAACCAAGGGCAAATTCTTCCCTTTGCAGACAAAGATGTAGGAATTTTGATCCTCCCCAGAATACTGCACGAAGAGCACCAAGATCCCAGAAGTCCTGGGTTTGAATCTCAGCTCTGTCATTCTAAGGCTGCGTTCTCTTCTTAAACTGTGGTGAGAATAGCTATGGCATGGGGATGTAGTCAATGCAATTAGTAAATTACCTGAAGTAGATGTGCCTGCCCTGTCCTTATGCCAAATTAGAGAAGAGTCCACAGCATTTTTTTCCCTTCCCCATTCCACCTTGTCTAAGAGTACAGATCAAAGTTGTAGGAAAAGGTGGGCAAAAGTCTAAATCATCTGACTTACAGGCCAGTTAGCTTCCCATGAATTTCTTTTAGCCAAGCCCTGATGCCTGTCACCCTCTTCATGGAGATTATTTTCAGTCCTTAGACACACAGATGCCCCTTCACTATGAATGCCAGCTGTGTTCTCGGCTGATGACGAATCATGGCAGTCCCCTTCTTCCCCTTCTATGACTTTCCCTTGCCTTCAGGATAGAGCCCACCTCCTTAACATAACCTAAAAGGCCCCTGTTGACCTCTCTACCCTCTATGTTTCCTCTTCTTCTTAGACACTCAGACCCAGCTATGCTGAACTATTCTCAGGTACTCTGTTACCTCCGTGCATTTGCACAATCCCCTCACTCCTCACTAAGCAAATTCATACCCACACATTTTGCTTGTTCCAACTTACATGTGATCCTTTCTGGGAAGTCTTACTTGGCCTTGGATCTCATGCTTCTCATCATAGAACATATCCTAACACTGTGTAGTAATGGATGATTGACTTATGTGACTCCTCTGCTCAGCTACAACATCCTTGAATCTTGAAGAGACTGTGTGTTATTAATCTTAATATCTGTCATAGCTTGCACAATACTTTGCACTATAATTCTATTACTTATTTTTAGCTTTTTAGTTGAAGTAGACCACATATTCCAAAAGTAAATAAATCATGTATGTACAGCTTAATGAATTTTAACAAATAAAACTTCTGCCATAACTAGCATCAATCAAGGAGCAGAACATTAGCCCAGAATCCCTCTCCATGCCGTTTTTCAGTCATTTCTCCTCTTATTTCTAGTACAATACAGTGTTTTTGAACTTTATATAATTGAAATCATACAGTACATATCTTCTTTTGTGTCTGTCTTCTTTTGCTCAATATTATGACTGTAGAATTCTAAAAGCTTATTTAAAAAATGGGTAATATTGCTGTATCTAAGATTTTAATCAATGTATATGAGAGGTTTTCTATTTCACCAGTTCAGAAAGAAGGCAGCTATTCTGAGGCACAGATGAAATCCCTCTCTAGTGGATGTGGTGATAGCCTGCTCAGCATTCTTTTTTGTCATTTCTATCAACCCAATTTTGTTCAGGTGTACACCCCTCCGTGGAAAGCCCAAGTGACTCCCAGTGGGCGGGCCTGGTTGGTAAGCTTTCTCCACCTTGCCAGGGATTGGCTCAGGAATGGGAGTCTCCATTTCAGCCACTGAGGAAATGTTGCTGGGGTTCGGGGTATCTTTTTGCCTCCTACTCCAGGAATGCATGCAGAAGCAACCTTCTCATTCTTCTGGATGTATCACGTGCGGGCAGTAGGCTCAGACACTAAGGCTACCCTGGTCCCCTTTGTCCTTGAGAATGAAGTCGATACAAAGAGGAAGACAGAGCCAAGAATCACAAAGAAATAGGGCTTGCTACTGCATTAAGTCATCTTCAAGCCTATGCTACTTCTAAGTTTCTAGTTATGTCATGTCATCCAGCAAATTTCATTATTGCTTAATCTAGTTTGAGTAGTTGTTTTTTTTGTTTTGTTTTGTTTTTTTAATACAACTAAAGGCACTTGAACTGGTATGTGTCCTAAGGACTCGGATGATTACTTGGAAGGCACATTTAATGGAATTGATGGTGATGTGAAGCTTTGATCTTGGGAAGGGGATTCGAGTCAGACAGTGAGGGATGGAGTGACATGGGATGGAGGGCTCCACCTACAACACAGGCTGAGAGGAAATTCCTCAAGAGTGAGCTATTTGCGCACTGCTCACAATGCCTTGGGTTGCCAAGACTCCGTGGGTATGCTGCAGACTTAAGGAACCTTTTAAGTGAAGAACGGCAACATTGGAGTGGTGGGGATGAGGGCAGCTGCCTGTGCCAGCAAGCAGAGAGGGTTCTCCTTTCCGCCTCCCATGGAGGAAAGGACGGCCAGTGCAACAGCAGCGGTAACCCTACGTGGCCCAAGGGCGTTTCTTCAGAGCACAGGGAGTGCCCTGGATGGCAAGTTGCCAGATTTTGGTAGTACACGTGCAGGAAGACAAGGTTCTCAAGTGCTGGACAGGAGGCGAAGCGCAGGGATGTCAGGGATGTCGGATCCCCAGTGTTTTCCCAATACTCTAGCGTGAAAATGAGAGTGATAAAGGTGATAGGAAAGGGCCCCTGGGTGGATGGAGCTAGCTTCTCTCTCTCTCTCTCTCTCTCTCTCTCTCTCTCTCTCTCTCCCCCCCCACCTCAATATCTCTCTCTCTCCTCCTGGAGATAAGAGTAATTATATTGTCCACTAGGACTGAGAAATCATGCCTGAGGGCACTGGAGTTACCATGGAGAGAGGACTCTCCAGTGGGAAGGCCATTTTGCATTTATGTGAGGTACAGCTCAGAGTGATTCAAGCTGAATTTACAGAGAAAATAGTTCTTTCTGCCACCCAAGCTGAGGAAGTGGGATAGACTGGTTCTGTTCACACAGGATATCAGAGAGACTGTGGATGAAGGTGGCATCTGATTTGACTTGTGAGAGAAAGATAGAATTTATACTTGCAGTGGGGAGGATATTTTCATTAAAGGGAACTGAAAGTGCAAAGGCAGAGGGGCAGGAAGTGCAGAGTGGCTATTCAAGGTATGTGAGAATGGGAGGGGTGAGGACATTCGGAAAGAGATGTGTCTAGGTAGAAAAGAGTTGTGAATGCCTTGGAAGAGGTTCGAATCTTACACTGTAGGTAAAGGTGAACAATTAAAGGATTTTTACCATGTCAATAATACAATTTAAGTTGGTCTCAAGATGATTAAAATCAGGATGGACTAGAATAGGGAAAGATAGGGAGTGGGAAAACCAAGTTAGAGCCCAAAACAATAGAACCCAGGAAAGGAAGTGGGGGCCTGAATTAGGGTTGTGGCGATAGACTGTAGAGAAACTAGAGAATTTCTGGAGGTGAACTTGACAAGAACTGATAACTGATCGGATGTGAATACGGCATGATTAACAGAAACTGCATCATTGTCACAAAATCTAGTCCCAGAGGTTGATAATTTTTTCACATCATGTTACATTTTCCACTTAACCATCTTTCTGGTAAAATGATTCCCAACTTGCAGACTATTTTGGGAGTATATTGTAGCAAAATGAAACACACAAAAAACAAAGTGATGAGTGTTACACGTAAAAAGAATTTGCCTGGAACAGACTCCTTTTTCTCATGGGGTTAACAGTAGTACTGCTTTTGATGAAGTGCATTGTGCATCCCAGTGATGGTAATAGAAAGAGAGGCATTTTGGGGGCTACTTGCACATTCATGGCCCTCCCAACTCACTATCAGAACCTGCCAGAAGTGAGTGAGAGTCAAGAACTGAAGAAATATTTTTTACAGTTTTTCAGAATTTGTTTTTGTTGACCAGAGTGCATTCATTTTCTAAGCAAGAAAACTGTGCCTGGAACTTGATTCCAAAACATAATTCTCTTTATTAGTAAAGAGGTGGAATTGTGAATGTGCTCCTTAAGGAATGGATGCCAAAAGCTTTCTTGATGATAAAAAGGTAATAATACCCTTTAAAGTAGTGTCTTTAAATGAATAATTTCATTATCTTGTCTTCCAGAGGGAAGACCATAGAAGCTTTATCATAGGGCCTAGTGTCATGATCATATATTTACTCCATAAATATCTGTGAGGTAAATATCAGGAACAGATTCTAAGTAAAAGACGTTAGTTGGGAAAACTCGCAAGCAGTGATATAATACTAAAGCTGTTGTGGTAGGAAAACTGTCTTATTCTTGGTTAGTTGGAAAATAAACAGATCTTCAGAGAAAAAAGTAGAGGGCTACTCCTGAGGGCTATTTGGTTCACTCATTTAAGATCTGACTCAAGAGTTGGGCATAAAATTAGAGGTAAATCTCAGTTCCAGAGATTCTAAACAGATTTTACATTACTCATCCGCTTCCGGTTGTTGGCTTTGGGAACATCATTGAAGACTATGGAAGGATCCTCAAGGTCCACAACTTCTTTCTCAGGGAAAGGCTAGGAATGACTTCTTAATTTTGACCTTGGCTGTTTAACAGATCTTTTGTTGTTGTTTGTTTGTTTGTTTGTTTGAGACAGGGTTTCTCTCTGTCACCCAGGCTGGAGTGCAATGGTGCAATCTCAGTTCACTGTAACCTCCAACTCCCAGGTTCAAGCAATGCTCCCACCTCAGTCTCCCGAGTAGCTGGAACTACAAGCGGGTGCCACCATGCTTGGCTATTTTTTTGTACTTTTGGTGGAAACAGGGTTTTGCCATGTTGCCCAGGCTGGTCTCAAACTCCTGGGCTCAAATGATCCTCCCACCCCATCCTCCCAAAGTGCTGGGATCACAGGCATGAGCCACTGGGCCCAGTCAACAGATCATTTATTTTCCCAGATTTACATTGCTTTGTGTAATCCAACCTAGAGGTCCAGTTTTTATGGCACATAGTAATTAGAATGACTAGTTAATCCTCGAAGGATAATCTGGAATATCTGCATTATATTTTACTGTATAGCAAATCCTGCACAGCACCACAAAAGGAAAGGGGCATTTAATACAGAGCAAGTAGTAACACACAATAAAAATGAAAAGCATTTAGTAGCAATGAGATATTGTGCCCCCAAATCATCCTTCCAATACCATGATTTGATAGTATAGGGAATGCTGGAAAATTTCCAAAAGAAAATGGAAATACAAGGATTCTATTTTTATTGCATAACAAGGAAAGGAAGTGCTCAACTACTGCGAGAATATGTTGGAAGCATATGGATTTTGAACCAAAAGATGAAAGTGATATTATACCTCTGGAAATTCAGTGTCTTCATTGTGATTTAAAGTGTCCTAG